AAAGGAGTCAATTTAATATAGCCAGTTAGACTGGCACCGCGCCAGTTCTCAAGTACCTTCGGAGTTTATAAAGGCAGAAAATTTGTAACATTTATAATGGTTGCCAATTGGAACGGATTATATAAAAAATGGGTAGCTAAGAATACTATCTTAGTAAAATATAACTAATACCTTTAAATGAGCAATTCTTATATATATAATCTGAATCTTGGAAACGGCACCAACGATTTTCATAAAATTTAGTATGGAGGGGGTTTCGGGGGGGGGGATTTCATTTTTTAGAAAATTTAGCATAAAAATACTGGTCATTTAGGTACTTATGTTTAATAGACAATTGAGCACTATTTGAATTAAGTTATAAACCGAATTTGTCTCTTTATATTTTGTTCATAAAAAAATATTAAGGAAACTACGCAGAACAACAGCACTGCAAAGAGAAAGGAAACTTGAAACAAATCCTATAGCAACCCGTTTGACCAACGTTTGCCACGTTGGCCAGACGAGTGGTCCAAAATAGAAGGAAAGACCTATGTCCAGCAGTGAACTGTTATAAGTTGTTGATTGATTGATTGACACGTGAAAATGCCGAACATATTTTTTTAATAATAAATTTACACATCTCACTCATTTTCTCTCTCTGCCGCGTATGAGGCAGTCTGATCCCAAACTAGGCAGAACCTGTACTAAGATAACCAGCCTGCTGATAAATATACTACTATATTTTTAAATGCATCCATAGATCTATAAATTTCACCTAGACACAGAATAAAGACAAACGATTTTACTAGAAAGTTTAAAAATTGTAAGTTCAGAATTATTTATAACGTTGTAGCAGTATGATTTCTGTCGCACCATTTCAAGAAAAATAAAATTCACTTGCGATATTTTTCAAAACCAATATTATTGAACACAATCTATTACGGTCCGTAATTTGTCGGTTGACCGCGACAACCTCCACTTAACCTCGGAGAGGTTCAGTGAGTTCCAAACTGTACATAACAAGTTATTGTTTGTTTCATTTAAATGTCAAGCTATTAATATCCTAAGCTCTAATACGCAAATAATAACTCACTTGGAGAGCCAGGCTTCGGATCAAAGGGGCACATTAATTGCCTCGGTTGTTTAGTGTTAGCCTATGCGACTGTTACTTCGGAAGTTGAGTGTTTTCTATGTATATGTACGAGTATTTACCAAAAAGAAATATATACTCGTAAGTATTTTATCAGTCAGTTTAGCTTTCATGGTACAAGCTCTGCTTAGTTTGAAACTAGATGGCGTTGTGTGTCAGATGTCGGAAATATTATACTGGAGCGGTACCACATCATACTGAAAAACTGGCATTAACCAATTATTTAGTTGATTTTCACCAAGTGACTTTTTTTTTAAGACAACTCCCGCATTAGGAATATATCCTTAGTCGCGGGGAACTTTACAAACATACATAAAACGGACACAAGAACACCCAGACTCAGAACAACAATTTATGGGTCACACAAAGTGGACGACACTTTGTGTGACCCATAAATTGTTGTTCTGAGTCCATGTGGCGATCCGACCCACAACACTCAGCGCTGAAGGGAGCGGCGTGGCGAACGCTTAAACCACTACGCCATCCCTGCAGTCAACTATGGGACACCCGTATGGTCTAATAACCTGGCGGGTGCCTCCCGCTGTAAGGCTCTACTCAGAACCTTGCAGCGGTTGATAGCCATACGGATGGCCAGGCGGCGACGGTTATGGCGCGATATCCGCCATTCGACATTCTGGCCGACATGGACGCGATAGTCTATGACCAAGTTCGCTCTCTCGGTCTGAATAGTGAGGAGGCCGCGCTGGGTCACGCATTCGCAAGCGCTGCGGGCGTGGCAAGTACGGCTCGAAACCTAGGGCTGAGCTAACCTGTCCTGTCGAGCCTTGAAGCGCGGGTAGGGAGGAACGACTGTGTCACCTACCGATTGACTCAGGTGCTCACCGGGTACGGTTGCTTCGGTGAGTATCTGAATCGTTAGCACGGGAGGTCACGGCACAATGACACCACTTTGGGTCCGACAGGGGCTCCGCCCAGCACATGCTAGAAGACTACCCTGCATGGGAGTCCGAGCGTCGAGTTTTGGTCGAAACTTGTCACTGCCAGCATTGATCATGGCAATGCTGGATAGTGTCGATTGATGGACAGCCAGAAGGAGACCGCAGAGCGGGATCGGAAAAGGGTTGGTCCCGCTCGAAGGAGGCAGCGGAGGGGACTACGGAGTGTAACCACCATGATTCATTTCGTGGGTGTCGTAAGAGTCGACTAAGGGAACTAACTACGCAAGACAACAGCACTGGTTAGAGAAAGAAAACTTGAAACAAACTCTATACCTGCCCGTCTGGCCAACGTGGTATAGCAGGCCAAAACGTCCTTTCTAAGGAGAGGACTACTAAGGCTGTTGACGTTGATGTGATATCCTCACTAATAATATTGCTATTGCGAAAGGAAGTTCACAGATTTATCTGTTCATTACCCCTTTTACATTTTAACCACTGAACTAGTTAGTACTAGTGACGACGTTTATGTAACATTTTATGAAGATTGCATGAAATTTTGCATATACGTTGTCACTAGTACAAAGAAGGATTTAGGGTTCCTTTTATACAGTGAAATGATACTAGACTTAAGGGCTCTGATAAGGGTACTACGGGCTTTATATTGGAAATTGATACTTTCTACGTAAATATTCTTATTCATGATGTGGCATAAATTGTTAACACAAATTTATTAAAGTGCGTAAATAAAGCATTTTAGTGCAGAATTAAAAAAAAAACAGTCAGGTACGAGTCGAACTCGTGCGCCGAGGGTTCCGTACCTAACCAGATTTTACGTAGATTTTCACGAAAATTTGTAAGTACCAAAATTTATCTTAATTTTCAACTTTTTTTTTTGGAATTATTCCTTTATTTGTGCTGTAAGGTAAATTTTGGTACTTACAAGTTTTCGCGAGAATCGAAATTTGGCCATATCTTTTTATCGTGTTGACTCAGGACCTTGATTTTTATGCATCTAATAGGGGTCATAGACCTCAGTATCTGGTATAAATCTTATAAGGGTTCCTTTTTTACCTTTTGAGGTACGGAACCCTAAAAACGGTTACAAGATAGCTCTCATCCATCTAATCCATCATTGCCTTGGTATTTTAATGTCTAAAATTATATAATAAATAACAAAGGTTTTGTATAGCCGGTAACTACAGTCCAGTAACCTTTCAGTTCATTTTAAATTTAATTTACGTCAGTTTCAGTTACTTTATGAAACTTCTATAAATTACATTTTCTTTATTAACAAAATGTTAATTCAAAAATTCTCGCATCCAATGGCTTCTCGCGACCTTCACCAAATCGTAGGACCCTCTTTTGGGGGACCTACCCACGCTGTGTTTCCCAGTACACGGTCGTCACTCGAGAATTTTATGGCATTGTGCTAAACGCGAAGAATACCACTAATCAAAAGAAATGAGTACATCATTACATAGTCTACAAAAAAGACATACAACCCAAGAATGGAATACACCAAAGGACACAATTTCCTGCCTCCTATGTATTGTGAATAATGGCAAATTCCAAAAGTAGCAGTGTCTTATTTAGTTGTTAGAACTCGAATTAATTATGGAATATTAAATACTTGCTATTGCCCGCGGCTCCGCCCGTGCGTATGTCGATTATAGCGGTAAAATTTAGTCCATGTTACACACTGATAATGTAGCTTACCATTGGTTTAAGAATTTTTTAAATCGGTTTAGTCGTTCAGGCGTGAAAGCGTAAAAAACCAACAAAGAAACCCAATTTCACTTTTATAATATATTATAAGTATGGATGTAACCAACTAACAATCATTTCAAATCAAGACACATGATTTAGAATTCTTAACAAATATCAAAATAGATGCTACCACTGATAGTTCAATACGAAGAAAACGTATAAATAGGTGTCTAGGTATCTAGTGCTGTGCACACATGTATGTGACCAACCAACATTATACGTATGTATGTATTATCTGGTTATAACATGTGTGTGTATTGAAATGTTTGAATATCTCATAACGTAATAAATTTAATTCCTGTCCTGTCCCGGTCCTGTCTTGTCCCCGTCCTGTCCTGTCCCCGTCGTGTCCTGCCCCCGTCTTGTCCTGTCCCATGTTGCGAAGGAACCCACGATAGGTGTGGTTAGAAGTATTGTTGTGTTGATATTTGTAAAAACTTTAGTACTATAAAGTTAACTTTATTCCAGATCATAAGTGTTAACGCACGATAACTTAGACCCTAAACATTTTTATTTTTATTACGAAATTGACAAAAAACATCTACGAAAATCTGGTTAGTCGACTTAGGCATTTATAATTAAATACCCTCTCGTAAATTATATGTAAAAAAAGATCTATATCCCTAATCAATTCAATTTCCACAGTAAGAAAAATATATTTTTAATGACCACCACTTTTTTTTTTCTTGGTGTTTTTTTCTGCTGTTGTGGGCCATGTGGTGGTTGTGGACCGTGTGGTCCATTCGGACCATGCGGACCGGGCTTTCTAGGATTGACTTTACCGGTCCTTGTGGTCCATCTTGTGGGCCGTGCGGTCCATGGGGACCACGTGGTCCATGTGGTCTTTGCTGTAGGCCTTGTGGGCCTTGCTGTGGGCCTTGTGGTCATTGCGGACCATGTGGGCCTTGTGGTAGAATCAATGCATGTAGTAAAATAATGATTGAAATCGGTTACTAATTTCCAACAAATCACATGAACTACGCATAAATATAGTCCAATTAACACCCTCTTCCTTTTTGAAGTCATTCGAAAGAAGATAGAACAGTGAGATATGAACGTAGAAACTCTGGTTTTTCCTTTTTTTTAAAGATCAGATATCTTTTAAGCTCTCTTTTTCGTATTCCTAACTTAAAAGAGACTTATTATCCCATTAATAGACCCTGATTCATTTCCTGTGACTAATATTCTGAACGTTCTTTTCTCAGGTGATGTATTGCCCGCCACCATACACTGATGGGATGTCCGGACGACCTCAGCCAACGAAAACCACACGAACAGGCAACGGGAATTCTTGTCACGATATCGTCTGAGAATCGGTTCGGAATAGGTCGCGTTTTTACTCTACAGAGCAAGCTACTATAGTGTAAAAGTGACCTAATAATGGACGTTACGAAAGTATATAAGTGATGTATATATTTCTGTTAGTAAAAGAAGTAAAAGTATGTATAAGGTATGTATCAACTGCTAGTAATATTAAGTTAGATTAGAATGTAATAATGTCGTATTTTTTTAGAAAATCTCAATCTTCATTATATAATAAAAAATTATTTAATAAATTATTTCTCACACTGTTCTATATTAATGAGCCCAATATGGAAACGCGTGACAAATGAAAGTAAAATGTAAAAATATTGTAGTATAGTATAGTAGGCCAAAGCCTCCTTTCTGAGGAGAGGCCTATGTCCAGCAGTGGACTATTATTGGCTGTTGATGATGATGATGAACAAAGAATATAGTGTAATTTAATAATATTTTTTTAATAAATAAATATTAAAATACGAATTAGGTGATGATATATAGATATACATCGAACTATACGATATGTTACGAAATTTTTATTTAAGATGTAAATAAAATATAGTAATATTTTGTATTTATTGTAGAAATATCACATAAAATTACATTATGAATGTATCACGAAATTTAATTTAAAGTAAATAGTAATTAAAGTGAAATATCAAATGTTATAAATGTATATAGAAATTCAAGTTACGTTATATTATTATAATTATGTTACATTGTATTAATATTGAATGGTTTATGTGAAAATGCTTTAAATTTAATTATTATTCAATAAATGTTTTGATAAAATTTTCAATTTATTTATGTCAAGAACACGTCTCGTTAAAATACGTTAATACGCGTATTTTAATGTAAACAGAAGGACCGTTTATCTTGGTAATGGGTTTTAATCAGTAAAGCTTGTTAAGTGGTATGCAATATTGTTTGTGTTTATTAAATTATACCGGCTTGGGTACACAACTAAGAAACAATATGGGGTATATAATAAGCCTCGATTATCCCGTGGTTACGGGAACACTTGTCTTCAAAGTTTGATTTATTGTCCAGGCAAATTGGAACAAAATCCTCTCAGATATGTTGGCGGATGATTGAATACCTGTCATTACGAAATACGCTGATTTAATATCTGGTATTTTTACCAAGCGGAAATACTGGGTAGTTAAAAGGTAGGTATTTATTAAAACCATCACAACCATCACAAACAACACATGTAAGAATTTGTCATGGGAAAGTATAAAAACTACGATACCGGTTGCTACTGAAAGGCAAAGTAACGTTTTTTTAATTTTATTCTGTGGAGCAACGGGAGTCATGTCATGCTCGGACATGGCTCTGACCAGGCTCTGACCAGCCATTAAAGTTGTTCAAAAATGTCTAGATAGGAAAAAACCTGGAAATTTGGCGCCGTCTACATATCATAAAACAAAAACATACTAAAACGTCATCTAACGAAGACCCACCGAACTACAGAGTAACTACTAATCCTGTATCGCGATATGAATAATACTCTCGCATTTGGCATATGTACAACTTCCCGACATCAACCGTTGGGCCGCGGCCCGCCAGGCATGATCAATCGGCTTCTTGCATCCAACTCCTACCCAGCCTGTTGGTGTCCGTGTAGGACAACAACAGGCTGGGTAGAGTGATGATTTACGTTTCATCATCATCATCATCATCATCAGCCTATCGCAGTCCACTGCTGGACATAGGCCTCTCCCATTGCACGTTTACGTTACGTTTTTTACATTGATTTACGTTTGCCTAGACGAAAAATAAGGAAATTTTACTATCTTAAATATATATACATATTAAGTTGGTTTGTGCGCTTGAAAACTCAAAAAACTTCTATACCGATTGATCTCAAATTTTGACACGAAATACAAGCCGCTTCAAATTGTTGTTTTTATTGATTTTTCGCCTCAGTTTTGATCCTCATTTATAATCAATGCAATCATATTGAGCCTAAGCGAAACAAAGCAAGGTACAGCTAGTATTTTATAGTTTAGCATTATTAAATAGTCTGCATCTATTTGTACTAATTGAAGACACGAAGGACATTAGGTTGATTTTATAGAAAGCTTTATTTGTCCCAGATTTATCGCTGCAATAAATTAGGTGAGCCATATACGAAGCGATTTTACGGCTCACTAATTTATATCCGCTAATGACTGAGTGTTTGGAGGAGTGTACTTCATTTTTATAGACTTACGTCATAGTAGGTTTAGTGTAGTAATTTGGTAATTGGATATTTATTGGTTCATTTTAAATCTTTAAGGTCCACTAGCAACCGAGGTTACTAGTATTTCCGTTAACCCCTCCCGCTAAGCTAAATTGTTTGTGTTAGGAGTGGGTTCACGTCGGTAGTGTTCTGGTCAGGATTCGATACCACGACCTCTTGATAGCAAATCAAACGCCTTAACGACTAGACTACCGCCGCTTTGAATGACTTCAATCGCTAATGACTTCAAGGCGTAATAATCCCGCTGTAGGGCAATATAAAATGTGTTCTGTTACACAGAACTTACTGTAACTTAGTCAATTAATTGTTCGTCTACCATGTGTAATTATCAACGAGCTGGTCTAGTGGTTAGTTACCCTGACTGCTAAAGCAGAGGGCGTGAGTTGGATTCCGCCCAGGGCAAATAATTCTGTAACGATCACGATAATTTCTTCTATGCCTGGGTGTAACTTATCTATAAATAGGTATATATTTAGAAATACAAAAGGTAACTTATCAGCAGTATGGTTAACATAGTACAGGCTCTGTCTAGTTTAGGATCAGACGGCCGTGGGTGAGATGTGTCAAGTTGGTATTATGATTACTTAGCCACTCAATCGGTCATCACCAAATTCTGCATATACGTTGTCAGAAGTACAAACAAGACGATATGCCATCTTTGAGCAAGTAACCTGTACTGTTTCTGTCGCAGAACGACCTCCGTCCTCCATAAGCGCGGCCTGGGGGTGACAGGTGAGGCCATCTGTCACCCTAGCAGAAGCAGGCCGGGATAGGGGCGAGCGCGTTGCGAAGCGCCCTCGCTTCCAGGGAGCAGAGGGAACATGGGGTTCCCACACGGGGGGGGGGGGCATCTACTTGTTGTAGATGGCCCGAGGTATGTCGGGGCACCAGGGACTTCCTTTCTAGGGTATACCTTGGCTATTAGTACCCGAGACGGCGTGCGGTTTTAGTCGGTTCGAGTCCGACATGCCACCGATAGGTAGTATCCGAGGGGATTTCCGCACGGAAAAAAAAAGGCATAGTTGGTACCCTTATACTTATCACTTTTAATAAAAATCTTTTAGAAACTACTCTGTGACATATACATATATATATATATTCAAATCGGAATCAATTCGGAAGAGTAAAGGTTGCCACAGTGTATCTCTAAAAACAATATTTTTCACGAAATGGTTTGTGACATTTTCACATAATTATTGTAATTGGAAGGTATAACATTGTTTTAAAAAGCCTTAATATAGCTTTGCTCACTGTTAATATTCTGTATTTCCTGTCATCATTTATTTCTCTAGCGATTCGACAGAAAAATATGCTTTTATGAAGATTTTACGTCAGCCTGTAGGTTTTTTTCTTTTACGCATTTACCGAACATGTCAATCAGACATGTTTTGTTTTGTAAAAGGTGTTTGATTGCCTGAAGCTTGATATAATCAGACAGGCGTCGTCTTTCTTAAGCTTATATTGTGTCTGTATTGTGTATATTCACTTGCCGTAGAAATATTGAAAAGGCAGATAAAGAGTAAGTACAAATGTTAAGTTTACACATCTTTTGAAAAAGATTGCAAAGGATGCCTACATGGCATTTGCATAGTTTTTTTTTCATATCTGCCTTGTGTGAATTGCACACACAGTCTTTTTTTATGTTAGAGGAGGCAGACGAGCAGACGAGTCACCTGATGGAAAGTGACCATCGCCGCCCATGAACGTCTGCAACTTAGGAGTCACAAACTTTATCAAGTTTATGTAAATTTGCATATTTGAGCTTGTTTATGCGTTGCTTTTTTAGCTTTCTATCTATCTAGCTTTAAAGAACAATTTTGCCAGTCCAAACAGGGTTTAAAAACGATCTGAAAAATTTGTTTGCAATAAAAATCAATTGTAATTTAATTAAAAGACACAAGAAGGTATACTTATGTACTATCAGCCTCAGATGGTATTGTGGAGGAACGGGTGTCATGTCCCTCCAACACAAAGGGAGGATCCTCCGACCAGGCGAGGTGATCATGCCTGGCGGGCCGAGGCCCCAACGGTTGATGTTGGGAAGTTGTATATATGCTAATCTTCATATCGCGATACAGGATTAGCAATTCTTATTTAGTAGTTACTCCGTTGTTCGGTGTGTCTTCATTAGATGGCGCTGCAGTGTGTTTCTGTTTCTTTGTATGTGGGAGTCGCCACAGTATATATTTATAGTAATCAAGAATTACATACCGTACTGGGACTTATTATACAGAAGATATTCTAGAATATAGATTACTACTGATTGGTATTCTCTTCTGAAACATTTTTATATGATGTATTGAGAACTGAGGTTGTCCGTGTGGTGACGGATTAAGAATACAGAGTGTCACCACCTCTATTCTTCCCGTGGGTGTCGTAAGCCGGGGTTCTCTATTCGGCGGGACGGTGTGTCGGACTCGAACCGACTAAAACCACACGGTGTGCCCTCTTTGCGCTTCTATTTTAGGGGGGGTCCAGGTAGTTATCGCCTTCTGGACCTCTCCCAGCGCCGGCCCGCTCCTGGTGCGGGCTCCGTCTCAAATCTTCCTCTCTTTAGGCGACGTCCGGCACACGCGGACGCCGCCCCCTCGCGGCTGACAAAACTAATGCGGGTGGAGGGGAAAACCCATCCCGTCCACCCGCGGCCACAAACTTGACACAAACCTTATACCAACCTATCCGGCCAGCGTGGTATAGTAGGCCAAAACCTCCTTTCTAAGGAGAAGCTTATTTAAAGCAGTCGACTGTTAAAGGCTGTTGATGAGA